TCTGGCCTGGTGGTGAACTGATTCATCAGCAGAATACTGAATCTTTATTTACATTCTATGAAATGTGTTCATGTGGAACAAAATCTAACGATAATAGAGGTAGTTAAAGGTAGTATAGTGGTTATTATTATATTCATCATATTATTATGTTTTATTCGATACGTCTGGAACTATCGGTACGAATTATTGATAAAATCTGAAGAATAAAGTCAAATCACGAAAAAGTAGGTACAGGTGTACCTATCTGGGGAATCTGGGGAAATCGTTAAAAATTGTGCTGTTTTATCGTTTTTGAAATATCTCGAATGAAGGGATGAATATATTCCAAGATATATAGGCTATACTTTATACTATACAGAGTGGGCCTTTGAAAACGAAACAGAGGCTCTGTAGGTCGCCAAAACCGGATTATCAAAAAAAACTGAAACAGGTCAACTACATCTTCGAGGGGGACATCTTTCTAAAATATTTTCAGCCCTGCGGCGTTGCCGTTTCTAAAGAAAAGAAGCAACAACTTTGTTATTTCAAATGGAACACCTTGTATTTTATTGCATTTTTAGATTCTCCCCGAAGAGCTGATTTCATCAATGCATCACACTTAGGGTCTAGCTATAATGGTTTCAGGGATATAAAGTGTTCAAAATCGAGATTTTTCAACTTTAACATTTTTTTGACTATTCATTATTGGTCAAAACGGCTCTCATGTACCGATCTCAACTTGTGATTTACTATCTACTGACATTTATTTGAAACAAATACAGGGTGGTTCAAGATTCAGAATTCTGATCACCCTGTATCTGTTCCAATTAAATGTCAGTAGATAGTTGATCAAAAGTTGAGATAGGGACATGTAAGCCGTTTTGACCAATAATGAATAGTTTCGACAAAAAAAAATTCCTAAAGTTGAAAAATGACGATTTTGAACACTTCATATCCCTGAAACCATTACAGCTAGACCCCAAGTGTGATGCATTGATGAAATCAGCTCTTCGGGGAGAATCTAAAAATGCAATGAAATACAAGGTGTTATCCATTTGAAATAACAAAGTTGTTGCTTCTTTTCGTTAGCAGCGGCAACGCCGCAGGGCTGAAAATATTGTAGGACGATGTCCCCCTCGAAAACGTAGTTGACGTGTTTCAGATTCTTTTCATAATCCGGTTTTGGCGACCTACAGAGCCTCTGTTTCGTTTTCAAAGGCCCACTCTGTATATATGATCTCAAAACGTTTCCATGAGATCGATCCAGTACATAGATTGAAACAAAGAAAATATTGGTATATGAAATCGACTCAAGAAATCAAACAAAGCTCCGCATAAAAATCAGCAGTCAGACATTGTTTTAAGGAAAAAAGCCCGAATTGAAAGAAAATAGTCCAAATACAATAATCAAAAGTTTGAACGAGAAAAATGTGTGAATTCAAAGGAAAAAGTCCGAATTCAATGAAAAAAGTCTGATTTCAAAGACAAAACTCTGAATTTAGAGAAAACAGTCTAAATTCCAAAAAAAAGTCCGGATAAAAATGAATACATCATGAGCTATATTATACTTATATGATCTTGGAGTCTGAATTCGAAGGAAGAAATCCGAATTCAATTAAAAAAAGTCTGAATTCAAAGACAAATGTCAGAATTCTGACAAAAAAAATAAACAACGTCCAAGATATGGGGTATATCATGACTTTGGAGATCGTCCCGCAGCATATCGAATTAAACAAAGAACAAAGAAAACGCTATTCAAACAAAACAGTCTGAATTGAAAGAAAAAATCCGAATTCAATTGAAAAAGTCAGAAACAGAATTCTGAATTCAGTGAAAACATCACTCTTAACTCAAAGAAAAAAATAAATACGAAAAGCTTGAAGTCATTTCCACACATCAATATTCATAAAATGAACAACGATTTCGGGAAAAAACAACTACTTTCCTGGCTAATGCCACGCAGAACATATGAATCACATCCTCCCGAAATCTATGCGTCGACTCGTATAAACGAATACTGATACAAGTGATTCTTTCCTTAATGCCTATTGATTTCGATTTAGCCATCTACGCTAGACACCTACAGACCAGTTTCGAGATCTTTGACTCTCATCAGTGCAGGACAGTCTACAGCTGGCAGTCCTAAGACCGCCGTCTAAGCGTAGCCTATAGCCAAACAAAAATAAAGTCGGAAATATATTCCCTCAGAGGTGTCCGCCATAGACAATATGAAAGCAACGCCATCTGAGTAGAAAAGAGGGAAAGAAACACTCCAAAATTTTTCAGACAAAAAATAAAAACACCGTTCTAGATATGGGCTATATTATGACCTTGGAGACCGAATAAAACAAAGAAAATAAAACAACCCGAGAAACCGAACACCCACCGAACAACGCTTCTTATAGAACTGTGGGCAGTCAGAGATTGCTTTCTGAAAAAAAGTCTGCATTCAATGAAAAAAGTCCGAATCGAAAAATTAGTCTGAATTCCAGAAGAAAAAGGTCTGAATTCAGAAGAAAAAGGTCTGAATCCAAAGAAAAAGTCTGAATTAAGTGAAAAAAGTCTGAATTCAATGAAAACGTCTGATTTCAAAGAAACAAATCTGAATTCAGACAAAACAGTCAAAATTCTGAGTAAAGAGTCCGAACTCCAAGGAAAAAGTCCTGATAAAAATAGCAACAGAATCGAAGAGCTCCACCATGGGGATCTCAGTTATTATAAGAGATACGAGGTCGGTAAAATTAGGGCATAGTTGCGTATTTCCATGCTGAACATTCATCTGCAAGAAAATTTGATGCGTCATTTTTAGTTATTTAATAATCGGAAGGAAACGAAAATTTATTTTTTTCGTTTTTATTTTTTCGAGTGGAAACCAGGAGACCTAGACGTTTCTGACTGGGACATTCTCAAAGCACTTTTTTACAAGGAATCTGAATCTGTCATTGTAGTTTCCATAACATTCTTGATGTCAAAGTTACAACACACAACTTTGTTTTTTCTTATGGGCACCATATTGGATTTTTGCATTCTTGAAAAGTCTTTTTTTTATTACAATGATGTATCACACGATATAATCGAATCCTTCCTGTTGATGAAAATTGTGAAAAAAACATTTTAGCCAAGCTGAATTTCGACAGTTTATTTGAATTTGGTACTGGAACGTTCACATTTCCGTCAAGCTCATCTACTTAAAAACTATGGTTATGAATTAGGAACGACGTTATGAGGTAGAAGTTTATTCTTCGCAAAACAAAACAAAATAAGCTTAAGAATTCAACAGTTCTGATCGCATATTCAATTGAACTGTCAAAATTCAGTTTGTTAAACAAAACTGTTGGCGTTCCTTATTCCAAGGCAATCTTCGCAAAAATGTTTTTTTTTTCACAACAGGAAAGATTCGATCATATCGTGTGATATATCATTGTAATCAGAAAAAAAGACTTCTCAAAAATGGTAAAAACCAATATAGAGCCTATGAGAAAAAACAAAGTTGAGTGTTGTACCTTTGGCATCAAGAACGTCATGGAGAATAAGATAACAGATTCAGATTCCTTGTGAAAAAGTGCCTCAAGAATGTCCTTTTTTTTTCATCGAGGTGGTTGAAATCCTTTATGGACACCATATGGGTCCAATCCCCCATATGATAGTGTGGGAGTCCCCTGACTCCAGGTATACCCACTAAACACTCCACCCCGTTTGTAGGCTCGTCTGACCGAAGTCTCCGACGACACTTGGGCCTAGTGGCCCATTGTATCTTACCGTTATCAATTTTACCATGTACCATGGTGCTTATTAAGGGCCACTTCAATATGATATACCCTTTTCGTTCAGGTTCCTGAAGATTACTCTTCCGATCCCTGTTCTCGTCTACGAAGAAGGCCAAAAGTTTTCCTTCTCCTACGAGTGACGGGGGAAGGGGTTGGTCGAGCCCTATGGTGCCCCCTGCACAGGGCTAAGGCTACTTACTCTGAGATGTCGCCCTGTTTCCCAGTTAGCGACACCATACCTCGGTGCCATTCATCCATCACCACGGGTTCCCACAGCTTGGATTAGGTTGCCAGAGCCTCGTTGACCAGTCCTCGGCCACCTAGACAGACATCAACAAATCGCCCCATCTCTGCCACAGATGTCCACAAATTGTCCCATCTAGCTCAGCCCCAGAGATAGCAAAGATGGTCCCAAAATGCTTCATCCGTCGAGCGGCCGCGGTCTGTCCTCCCAACACCACTTGATGGTGAGGTTGATGGGCTTGAAGGGGAGGAGGAAAAGAGAAGTTGGCCAAGAAAGGCCGATAGATAGATTGAGAAAGGAAGAGAGAAGAGGATATCACCCAAGACAAGTTGAAGTATGGTGAATATCCGGCTAGGGTACCTCGGGTTCACCATTCCCGTACTCACAAGTTGTGAGCCCCTGAGGGCTCAAGAATGTCCTAGTCAGAAACGTCTAGGTCATTTGATTTTCGCTTGAAAAAAATAAAAACAAAAATTACAGATTTTTGTTTTCTTCAAATAATTCAAAAACTGAAAACGACACATCGAATTTTCTTGCAGATAAATGTTCAGCATAAAAATGCGCAACTCTGCCCTGATTTTACCGACCTCGTATATCTCTTATAATAACTGAGATCCCCATGGTGGAGCTAGAAAAACGGACACCCTGTATAAGCTATACCGGGGGCTATACAATGATCTCAAAAACTTTGTATGAGATCGACACAGCATATCGAATGAAACAAAGAAAAAAAGCTAATCAACCCAAGAAACCGAACACCCACCAAACAACATCACTATTCTCAAAACAGTCAGCAGTCAGACATTGTTTTCCAAACATTCGTCCACATTGTTATACATACACGTAAGTGCAAGGTCTGCCAGAGTGCTGGATCAGCAAAAATCCGATGGTTGCGAGGATGGCCATGGAAAAAACATTTCTCCGAGCGCGATGTTAGTCACAGAGCCAACTTCTCGGAGAAGAGGTTATAAGACAGTGTCAAGTGTCGAATAAGCGCGAGTGATGTGGAGATGATGGAGATAACCACCATGGAGATGTTGGAGATTGGGATTGTCAAGGTGGAGAGGGTGGCGGATGGGGATATGACAGGTAACAATGAGAAAAAAATAACACCATCTCACCCTATATAGAGTGCCTCGAACATCTCATGTTACGCTCTTTAATGACTGTGGACACACTTGCCATGTTTTTAACAGTTGTGTAAAAGATGGAATGTCAACATTTTACTTTCTACACACACTGGCACAATTAGGGGAACGGGCAAAATTTACACTAAATTTGACATCAATTTTCTTTCGAACCGATCGCTCGATTCAAAATTTTTTTTTTTCACGAAATGTAGCTTCATTCTTCACGAATACATCTGAGAAATAATTACCTTCAAACGATGAGTCTTTCCATCATATACAGGGGTGTAAAGAAAGTACGGATTTTTCGGTATTTTTTTAGACATCCTGTGGACTGAACCACTGATAATTGGAACGATTTCTCAACACCAAATTGGAGCACAATCTATTCCGAATATTTTTGTTTTTTATTCATCTTGATATCTCAATTATTCAAGAAAATACAGAGTTTCAAAGGAAAGGTGGATATTGGTATCAATTTTACACCTCTAAACTCAAATTGGATCTGAAAATGTGTGGTTTCTTGACTAACCTAACCTAACCATGACTAAACCACTGCCATAGGAGACAGAAGCAGTAAAATCAAATTGTTCATTTTGTTCACCTCGGCGATATAGTCTTTCCCTGCCATCTATTGAATTGGTGCAGATGCGACTCTCATATGTTAAAAGAACATTGGCCCACTGGTCATTTTTAATTAATGCTACAGCTCTCGCCACATCAGTAGGAGTCAAATCTCTCACGTTGAATTTTCATTAATTAAATTTATTAATTGTGAATCGCCTGACTTTGACAATGATTAATGACATTAACAAAATAGCTAACGTTGATTAACAAAAATAGCATTTCACCAAAAGAACATTGGAGCAACTTTTATCACCCCTGCATATTCATTAGAGAATTCGTATATGTGTCTTTAAACAGTAAACCGATAGGTAAAACTGTGAACAATTCTCATCTTGAAGTAAAAATCCTCACAGAAACAAGTTGAAAAACGACACGTTCTCCCCAGTTCGAGTTTCGAGGTGGTAAAATTAATACCAATATCCACCTCTTCTTTGAAACTCTATATTTTCTTGGATAATTGGGATGTCAAGATGAATAAAAAACGAAAATATTCGGGATAGATTGGCCCATAATTTGGTGTTGGAAAATCGTTTCAATTATCAGTGGTTCACTCCACAAGATGTCTTAAAGAATACCGAAAAATCCGTACTATCTTTACACCTCTGTATATGATATAAAGACGAATCGTTTGGAGGTGGTTATTTCTCAGATGTACTCGTGAAGAATGAAGCTACAATTCGTGAAAAACAAATTTGAATCGAGTGATCGGTTCGAGAGAAAATTGATGTCAATCTTAGTGAAAAAATTTTACCCGTTCCCCTAATTGTGCCAGTGTGTGTAGTAGAAGTCCATATTGTTCAAAGTGATAGAGTGGAATTTTTCAAAGGAAGGAAGCTAACACCATTGGGTGTCCCCTGAGGTGCTGATCGTTTCAGTGAAAAACTTTTTGGCAATTACCCTTCATATACAGGGTGTTTCACAGGTAAAGGGAAATATTTCAATGGTAGATAGGGGTCACCAAGGTGGTTCTGAAAATACCATATTTGATAGGTCTTAGAGTCTTCATAACGGATATACAGGGCGATTTATCGATTTCGAATAATTATTCATTCAGTTTATATGTATTGACCTACCCAGTATATTTTTCTAAAATTTGGCATGGAGCTCATACTTGAGACGTTGAATTCATTCACCTATCGGGCGAAGTGAAAATCCAGGTTCGGCTTCAGGAAAAATTTACATTTATTCGAAATATTAAAATAACACACTGTATGTAATAATTGACAGAGATCATCGAAGGAATCGTGAAGAGGAGGAAAAACTGTACTGGATTTGATGCTTTTTGTTTTCCCGCCACCAATTCTCATCGTAACAATCATAAACAGAAAGCTGAAAGTATGTCAATTTGAAGCAGAGTTGAAATTATGAAACCAGTGTCAATTATGATTATTTGATATATTCTTGTTATATGATCGTTCGAAAGAACTTACTTAGTCTTACAGTTTTTATACGGGAAAACGGGAGCAGAATCGGTCCCGAAACGTCCAAAGATAAGTGAAAATTTGATATTTTTTCTATATACCTTTATTTCTCTTCTCCAAACTTTTTTCAATACAAATTGTCACTGACAAGCTAGTGCTTTTAGGCTCTCTGATAGGAAAATTCTTTGAACGCAGTGACATTTTGGGGCAAATCATCTGATTTGTCCTTACTACACGTATATTGAAATAATATTCATATTTTTATTTTATAGAAACGAGGAGAGAAAATCCCAAAAAATTTGGAATAATGAATATACAGGGTGTTCCATTTGAAATCAAAGTTGCTTCTACTTCCTAATAGAGGTGCTGCGTGGCATTAGTCAGGAAAGTAGTTGTTTTTCTCCCGAAATCTATACCATTGTTGTTCATTTTATGGACATTGTGTGGAAACGGCTTTCAGCTTTTTGTTTTCATTTAAAAATGATTATCATTCTATGTTCTATGGTTTTCTCTCGACACCCGGTAGTGTAAAAATGTCAACTCACGACCGGAGCAATTAAAATCTCTTCGTTTATTAAAGATTTCTTTTCGAGAACGATTCGACGAGGACTATAAATCGTTTTGTTGTTTCGACTCGTTTTATACGCCATCCATACACCACTCGCCCATATTTCCCGGAACGAGCTCGAACAAAAGGCCGAGTGTGTGGATATTGTTTCTCTGAAAAATTACAGATTGCGCATTTTAACATTTAGTTAATGCCGTGCATCTAAGGCTTTGTCTTCGTTCGAACCGATGATTTAAACTCTTAATCGATTTATCACGGGTTCTTCATACTTTTTTTTATCAGCAAGGTGACCCTTACCAACTGATATTTTAGTTTTTCATTGACTATTCCATGCACTTTTGTTCTAGAGATCCAATCACAATCGACCATTTTCATGGTTTCTTCTGATGAATGACTGCCATATTTTTGTTTACTAAAAATTATCGAACTTGCTGTAACAATACTATAAGACGCGTCTGAACTCCCATCTTAATGAACTGCCATCCTAAAAAAACTTTTTCTTCACGAACATTTGCGAAATTTACAGTTGCAGTGTATTTGCAACAGAGAACACTTTTTTTTGTTCAAAACACCTCCTAATTTACAGTTGCAACTGTAAATTCGGAGATATACTGTAAATTAGCACTAATTTACAGCTGCAACTCTAAATTAGCCCTAATTTACAGTTGCAATTGTAAATTAGGATATTCCGAAAAAAAAGTTTCTTCTGCCTAATTTACAGTTGCAACTACGACGCGTCTAAACTGCCATTCTAAAAAAACTTTTTTTTTTCACGAACATTTGCCTAATTTAGCACTAATTTACAGTTGCAACTGTAGTTGCAACAGACAAAACTTTTTTATTCAAAACACCACCTAATTTACAGTTGCAACTGTAAATTAGGAAGTATACTGTAAATTTGCACTAATTTACAGTTGCAACTCTAAATTAGCCCTAATTTACAGTTGCAACTGTGAATTAGAAGATATTTCGAAAAAAAGTTTCTTCTGACTTATTTACAGTTGCAACTACGACGCGTCTGAACTGCCATCCTAAAAAAACTTTTTTTTTCATGAACATTCGACTAATTTACAGTTGCAACTGTAAATCAGCACTAATTTACGGTTGCAACTGTAAATTAGTCAGAAGAAACTTTTTCAAAATATCGCCTAATTTACAGTTGCAACTGTAAATTAGAACAAGAGAACTTTTTTTTCTACACATCTCCTAATTTACAGTAGTTGCAACTGTAAATTAGAGTCTCACAGTCTCAGTTCTCACAATTTCTCACCAGACTACCAGACATAGGCAGCGATAGCATGCGATGCACTGAGACTGTGAGACTCTAATTTACAGTTGCAACTACTGTAAATTAGGAGATGTGTAGAAAAAACAAGTTCTTTTGTTCTAATTCACAGATGCAACTGTGAATTAGGCAGAAGAAACTTTTTTTTTCGAAATATCTCCTAATTATCAATTGCAACTGTAAATTAGGAAGTGTTTGAAAAAAAGTGGTCTCTGTTGCGACTGTAAATTAGGCAGAAGAAACTTTTTTTCAAAATATCTCCTAATTTACCGTTGCAACTGTAAATTATGGCCAATTTAGAGTTGCAACTGAAAATAAGTGCTAATTTACAGTTGCAACTGTAAATTAGGTGTTTTGAAAAAAAAAGTTGCAACTGTAAATTAGGCGATATTTAAAAAAAAAGTTTCTTCTGCCTAATTAACAGTTGCAATTGTAAATTAGTGCTAAATTACAGTTGCAACTGTAAATTACGAAAAAGTTTTTTAGGATGGCAGTTCAGACGCGTCGTTCAAACACCCATATTGAAATTGAAACTTGTAATTTTGCTGGTCAGTATAATAATATGTCTTTTTACATTACGTCTATGTCACGTATTTCGTATTATGGATTGTATGAAATATCACAACAATCCCATGTTACGTGCAACATTGTATACGACTATGATATTGTTACCTGTGCAGATCATTCAGAATGGACTCTATACCATTCCAAAAGTGTTAAAGGATAGCACAAAATGGAGTGTTTGTTATTTTTGTGAAGTCACGTTCACTGAGTTGTAATTGATCTTCCTTGCACCCACACCGTGAGAAAATTTATATCGTCGCAGTTTATGAAAATCATAGTCGTACCAATGAAAGAAGGGAATTCGATGAATTAAAAAAAAAAATTGTATGTTCTGATACCCACTAAAAGGGATATCCTGTAATGTTCAGAGAACATCGTGAGAACCAAGAAAAATAAGGTAGGAGTTGGTGTTCTTCCTAAATTTCTGGAGGATATATGCCTCGAGGAACACCTCCCTTGGCAATGTGTTCCAGAGCCTCGCTGTTCGTTGGATGAAC